AGCATGCTATCCACTAGCCCCCTGTGGCTAATTTTTTTTTTTTTCACATTGTAAAAAGGACTGCTTTATTAGGAAAAACCATATGTGGCTAATTTAGATCAACTACATTTTTTGAAATGTTTAACTTCAATTCCCCATATGTCAAGAGCTCATCACATGTGAGCCCCTAGCTGCCAATAGCCCCATGTAGCTAAGGGCTACTGTGCCGGTCTGAAAAACTCCAAAACATCTCCATCAAAACACACAGGTTTTTTTCTTTTAAAGATTTATTTATTTATGCATACAGGCCAGAAGTGCAGGGATGGTAGAGGATTCACCAGAAACAGAGTAGGGAGCAGAACTGGCAGATCAACGAAGTATACTGTGCTGAGGGGAACAGCGGGAGAGACAGAAAACGTCTGTCACACCATGTAGGTCACCTTCCTGGGCAGGATCGAACTCGTACAGAGGTGGTTGTTGATAGCTTAGTGCTGCCCTTTAATCTTGTGCCACCACGGAGGGCCCAAAAAACAGTTTTTAGAGACCACAGTAGTAGTTCATTTTCTCTCTGGGTTTGTGATCCTTCTGATGTCAACTGGTAGAATTACACTGGTGAATCAATTTCCTGAATAGAAGGATCTGGATTTATATTTTCTCATAATCCAGCTGGAATTCAGCTGAATAAAACCAAAAATACACTGAAAATTAACACCTACCAGCCATATGCATGGGCTATTAAGAGTAATTCTGCCTCAATTTCCTTCTCCACAGAGCAACTATTAATAAGCAACATCCCCTTGCTTGTTTTTAACAATAAGGACTTGCTAGGGGAAAAATTCCAAAAAGTCTGGAACTCCAAAGAGGAGTACTTCAGGAGCAGGCAGCTGGCCAATTGTAGTACAATAGTGTAATTTACGTTTTATACAGTAAAATTTAACAGGTTTATTTATCATTGTTAGAAAGTTGAACAGCTGAAACTTGTTCACAGAAACACTGTGCCTTGCCTTAATACTTTATGCCCCCGCATTCCTATTAAAAATTCATACAAATGAAAATGGAAAAGCTACCAGTTCCTGATTTCTGTTTCCTATTTTTCTACTTGCAATCATATACCTAGGCACCTTTGGACCCCATGGGGAAGATTTTCTACTGTCAGAACTACCAGTAAAAGGAAGGACAGATTTTTTTTTAATGAAATGTTTCCCATCGTAGTGGATTCATCTTCTTTATTTTCTCAAACTTTAAAAAATATTTGGCATTCTCTTTCTCCCCCACTCCCACCTGAGTTGAGGTAACACTGGTTTATTATAACACTCTAACCCAGAAGCATTGACACCTTCTCAGAGCCATGTCACCACATCACGCCACCAACAAGGCACCCGCCATCCTCCACCATAGTCCACTGAGCCCCTTCCCCAGCTTCCTCACATGGGCAGGCGTTCTGGCCTGTGATCTTCAAGCTCAGCTGTTACAGATTTGGCATAGACAAGACACAACTTGGTGTCTTCAAAAGACCAACCAGATTGGTCTCCTGCAAAGCTTCAACAAAGTGTTCCAGAGCACAGATCTGTTTTGAAGTCCTAACGAAGTTTTCCCATCAGGCATTGGCAGGGAAGTTTGCAAACAGAATTTGCCGCACTTCTAACGTCTAAGTTCACCGACTGCCACAGTACCAGCCGGTGATAGCATGCTTCTTCACCCCTCCGGTAGAGGGCGCAGTCTTGGACACGGCTTCTGTAGAAAAATGTTTCTGTATAATTTTGCACCTGTCCATTGGCGACGGATCTACTTCGTAGAAACCATGGCATAAAGATCTCCTTGCTTAATCCTGTCTTCTCTCCCTCGGGGACCCAATGCTGGTGTGAGAGGAAAAACAGCCAAGATCAGTTTTAAAAATTCATGTCCTGGCCCGTTGCAAGGGCAGAAACCAGGTCCAAGCAAGGCGTGATCATACTTCCGCATGGGACTCATCTTAATGTGTATCGATCAATGTTATCTTCAGAGGTCCGCAGCACAAGAAGGCAGTGTCATATCACACAGAACATATCACCCCAGGACACCCAGCTGAGGTACCCTTAGCTTCACGAAGATCCTCACCTTTTGGTGTCTGGAGCCAGCTGCCCCAGAAAGGGGTCTTCTAAACACCAGGGACCCGTCAGTGGCTGGACTCCTTCATCTGGGCATTCTCCAGGGCAACAATGTGAAGAAAGAGGCCAGTGGATGTGAGGTTCCCATCTGAGGCTTTCACTTGCTATGTTGCTTAGGAAGGCAACATCACAGTTCCAGGTTATGTAGTGGGGGGCCCAAGGAGAGAAGACAGAGGCTTGGCTGTACCACTGGGGTACCCAAACAGATGCTGTCCCCTCTTGGAACCAAAGAGGCGCAAGGCAACCTCCCATTCGAACCTTCCACTGCTGTGACCTTACCCCTCTTCCGGCAGCAGGCTGGAGTAGGTATTTACTTTCTGGGTCCAGGTGTAGGCAAAGAAGGATGCCTGGTGTGCCTGTTACCCAAGGATAGTGCACCAAACATTAGCAGCCATTTTCAAAACAGGCTAAAACAGACTGTTGGCCAGACAGGAGGTGGAATGTTTGAAATTAGAGCTGTCTGTGAAAATCCGTAACATGCAGGCACCTTCTTAACTGCACTCAGCTGCATATTTCAAATCCAATATCTAACAAGGTGGGTCCTCAATAAATATTTTTTTAATGAATAAAAGATTGCATGTGAAATGTATAATGCCTTGCACTCAACTAATTTGGATACAACTTCATTTGTCTATTGAAGTGGAGCAGGAAGCAGGGAAAAGTGAACTTGACTTACCTAGTATTTTACCAGTCCTATCCATAATGCACAGAGGAAAGAACCCATAAAGGAAAAGATTAATTGATTTGGCTACTTTATGTCAGATACCAAAAACACCATAAAGACTAAACGATTTAAGATTAATTGGAGAAAATACCTATGACATATGATAAAGACCTAGTATTAGGCCTCTGTAAAGAGGTGCTAAGATCATTAGAAAAAATAACAGCACCTTAACAGAAAAATAGGAGGCCATGAATAGATGCCTTTCTTTCTCTCTCTCACACATACATAGACACACACAGAGAGAGACAAATAGCTAATAAATGCATTATTAGCTTTGCTGATATCAAAAAATATACACATTAAAATAAAAATGTGCCATTTTCAACTATGAAATGGCAGGCATCTTTCATTGTTTTGCTTTTGAATGACAATCCCCAACAATGGCAAGGATGTGGAGAAACAGGTCTCATCCTACACTGCTCATTCACTTATGGGAAATAATTTGATAATATGTGCTAAATGTTTTAAAAATGATCAAGTAACACTGTTCCAGGAATTTGTTCTAAGGAAATAATCAAAGGCATAATCAATGATTTATGTGAAAGATATTCATCAGATGTTTGTGGCAGGGGTAAACAGAAGTCACCAATAAATCCATCAATAGAAGGAATGTTAAGTGAGCTATATTACTAGCCTATGAAAGAAACTATACATCATTTTTAAATCCTTTTACAATATTCACAATAGCTAAGAGTTGGAAGCAACCCAAATATCCATCAATTGATGAATGTCTAGAAGTATGGTATATACATCCAGTGTAATACTACTCCAGCTTTTAGAGGAAGGAAGTCATGGCGTGTGCCACAAAATGGATGAGACTTGTAGATATTATCCTAAGTGAAATAACCAGACCCAAAAAGACAATACTGTGGGAATCCATTGATCGGAAGAATCCAAAATGCTTAAATTCATAGGAGTAGAAAGTAGAACTATGGCTACCACAGAACTGAAGGGTGGGGGAAATGAAGAGCTGCAAGGTGAACATGTTCTGTAGATTCCTTCCTACAAAGTGAGGACACTTAACATGTCTGAACTGTGTGCTTCAAAAATGGCTAAGATGGTAAATTTTAGTTTGTGTTTTCTACCATAATCTTTTTATTGTTTTTAAAGGTTTATTTATTTATGCATACAAGAACTGGTATAGGCCAGAGGTGGGGGGCGGGGCGGAGGGGCCAGAGAGGATTTGCCAGAGACAGAGTGGGGAACAGAACAGGTAGGATAAACTGAAATACACTGCTGAGGGGAGCAGGGGCCAAGACTTGAGAAGCCTGCTGTGCCATGTGGGTCCCCTCCCCAGTCGGCCAGGGGTCAAACTCATGCTGCAATGGCTGCAGGTAGCTACAAACAGTGTTGCACTTTAACCCCTTGGGCCACCAGGGAGGCCCTTTACCACAATATTTTAAAATTCCTTTTATAAGATCATTCATGGATTATTCATTTCCTAAATCATGATATTATACCATATACTTGAGGCTAAACCCATATTTCTCATAGCTTCATTGTTGTGTGGTTCTGAAGGCACTTCAGAATGTTTCAGGACTCACAAAATTGATCTTCAGTACAACCCATTATAAGTTTAATAGACTTTTGGGCTTGTGTGCTAATTGAGAGTAGCAGCTAATAAAAATGCTCCGTAGGGCCCTCCCCGGTGGCACAGTGGGTTAAAGCACAGCACTACAAGCTAGCCACAGCCGCTTCAGTGCAAGTTCAATCTCCAGCCTTGGAGGTGACACAAATGGTGCAGCAGACCTCTCCTGTCTCTCCTGCTGCTCCCCTCAGCAGTGTACTATGTCAACCTGCCTGTTCTGCTCCCTACTCTGTCTCCAGTGAGTCCTCTCACTGCGCCTGCAACTCTGGCCTGTACCCCAGTTCTGTATGCACAAATAAATAAATATATTTTTAAAAAATGCTAGGTAACAGATTTACTGAATTCAGAAATTATAATTTCACAAACGCTTTGTCAATGCTTAGCATCAATGCAAGCTTAGGGTTTTCCAGGGGCTTTCAATATTTTCTGTTTGCATACACATCCAGATCCTGGAGAATCTGATATGTCCTTAAACACAAATCTTTTGTCAGATCACTGTGCTGATTTTCTTTTCATAGATGTGAACACTATAAAGGCTCGAGACATAATCAGGTATCCTTACCCTCGACCGGACAGTTTATAATGACAGCTCTGAAGAGATGCATTCAGCATCCGGGCCTTGATGTGGGCCAGTAGTCGATGCCAACAGTTCATGTAGATCTCTTCAGATGTTCAATTTTTCATTAAAATTGTCGCTTTCTTTGTTTTCTCAGTGTCTGAAATAGTGCCTTGCCTATTAATAAGGCTAAATTATGACATCCAATAAATGAAGTTAATTACACAGATTACACTATAATATAAAATGAAAAGATCAAAGTGATCAGAAGTTTAAATATTAACATATTTTGCTAACTGACAGTACAGCAATCCTAACTTCAGACTTTTTTTTTTTTAAAGATTTATTTGTGCATACAGAGCTGAGGTACAGGCCAGAGGCACAGGGGCAGCGAGAGTCTTCACCAGAGACAGAGTGGGGAGCAGAACAGGCCAACTGACGAAGTACATTGCTGAGGGGAGCAGCGGGCGGGTCAGGAGAGGTCTGCCGCGCCATGTGGGTCACCTCCAGGGCAGGTGAGGATCAAACTCATGCTGAATTGGCTTTAGCTTCTCAGTGCTGTGCTTTAACCTGCTATGCCCCAGGGTGGGCCCCCTAACTTCAGACTTTCAAGGGCACACCTCTTCTCCTAGAATCAATTATTCTAAATGCATATCTGCAGGCTGTTAATAGTTGTTCTTTGAATACGTTTGGGAAATTCTGGGGTAAAACTGCTTTCTTTGTCAACAAATTTCTCAAGCTTTTAAAAGCAAGGTGAATTACTCTTCAGGAAAGGAGTTTCCATATGGCATTTTCCTAAATCCTCTGAAAATAAAATGCTTTTAGATGGGGATTCCAGTGGGATTGCCCATAGTCCTTCTTGGAAAGCCTCCATTACACCAGGATTAATTGTACCTTGGTTGTGAAATGTCTCCATTAATTTGGAGGCTGGAAATCTAACTACTGGTCACTATCACTTACTAGCTTGTATAGGCACTTATCCTCTATCTCTGTGTCCTTGTCTCAAAAAAGGGAGAACAACAGCTCCTATCTCAGAGCAGATTACTCTGCATAAATGTTTGTAATTGATATTTCATCAGTTTACAGAATATATCAAGTAATCTCAACAACAAGTCAAATAGACATCAACAGATTTGGGATCAGGTACAGTTGATCTTCCCCTACTAGGAGAAGGGACCAGTTTGTAGCCACAACAATCTGAAAGCTGTGCCATCAGCCATTCAGCAAATGATCTGCCTGATTAATGAAGCCAGCTGTTTATGTGGAGGTCTGTTACGACGCTCTTTACTCCACCATATACTTCAATATCCGTATTAAAGCCAGGCAGAATCTTTCTATTTTCCCCATGGCAGAACTGAGCCACACCCCCAGCATAGTTGAGCCCACACAGTCTTATTTATAGAAGCCTGTAAGGGGGTAGTTATTCAAGGAATGTCTATATTAGCAAGATATAGCCAATATTCTTACTCTGCAAAACAAGAACCAAGAACAATGCCTTTAATTCTTTCTATAATTGGAATATAGATAACAGCCACTATTCATATAATAATCCAAGAGGACAACTTTCCAGTTGCTAATGGGCATAACACTGTGTAAACATGCAGACTTTTCTTTCTATGTAGTTCATATAAAAAATTCATGTTAGAAATAGAACATTAGCTAATTTAAACATCATCCTTTTTATCAGTTATAACAAAGGTTTAGAAACCTTTAACTCTAATGAAAATTAAGTGCTTTGCATTTAAGATATTTCCTACTCTGACCTTTAAATGCTAAAATAACTAGAAGTACTACAAAGCAGAAATGAGACTGCTGCACTTATCAGGTGCTACTTTTCAGACCTACAGTTGTAAGTAAAAAAAAAGTGTTTTACCTTCAAAGTCAGAAAAAGTAAAATATTATGCATAGCTAGAATAGAAGACGTCACTAAACCGCAAGAACCTTTCCCCACAAAAGAGGCCAGAGAAGACTCAATGCAGGGCTCCCTATGAATGTGACATCCATCAAACCTAAATCTCCAACTTCCCCATAATCCTCAGTGATACTCAGTTCGTGTTTGAGAACTTAAGTGAGCTGTGCCTCAGACAAACGCAATGTTCCTGGCAGTGTGGATCCGCTAAATAACCATCAAAAGCAAAAGGAGAGCTAACTCTTTATTCTCCCTGATCATTTAAAAAAGTAACCCAGAGAGTCCAGACAAATATGGTCAGTTAATCTGTGACAAAAAAGCAAGAACCCTACAAAAGAGAAAGGAAAACCTCTCCATCAAATGATGTTAGGAAACTTGGACAGCCACATCGAAAAAAAAAATTATTTAGGCAGCTCTCCCGTGACTGTGCCTGCCTGTGCCCGCCTGTGACTATGTAGGTGTCTCTTTTCACCAACCCTTTCCTTTTGCAAAGTAACAGCAACAGCTCTTCCTGCCCATTTGTGTCTGTGTAATCATCTTCTCCTCTCCCTTTTTTTTTTTTGGGGGGGGGGGTAATATAAAAAACCTTCCCTTTTGAAATAATTATTATTTAACTCCATACACACCAATTAACTCAAATAGATTAAAGACTTGGTACAAGACTTATATAGGAGAAAGCATAGATGATACTCCTGGACACCAACCTCAGGGATGTATTTGGAACTCATCTCCAATGCAAAGAAAACAAAAACTAAACAATGGGGCTACACTAAACTAAAAAGTTTTGTACATTGAGACAAATCACTAGTTTCCAAGATATATAAAGAACTCATAGCATTCAACAAAATAAAACAATAAAAAATGCACAAAAGGCCAAAAAGACACTTCTCCAAAGAAGACATGCAGTCAGCCCATAGGCACATGAAAAAAAATGCTCATCATCACTTATTTTAGGGAAATGCAAATCAAAACCACAGTGAGAGACCACTTCACACCTGTCTTCTAAAACCGTCTTCCTCCTGGCCTCCAAACAGCTGAGTTCCTGCCAAACAATTCACTGTTCCCCAAACACAACTTGCAAGACTCTGCTTTCAATTGCATCCCCTGTTCTAGGAACTCCTTTCTGCATTCTGTATAGACCCAAATCTTAAATTTTATTCAAGGACAAAATCAAATGCTACTTGTTCTCCAAACCCATCCATGGGTTCATGTGTGGGTCCACAGGGGACCTAGTAGTATTACTTTCAAGGGGTGAGATGAGGTCATAAACTAAGAAGTCAATCTCAAAGTCAAAGTCATGAAGCTGGAAAACTTTGGAAAGCATAATATGAGATGGATTGAACTGATGTGGCTAACAATGTCAGTTATTGGTAAGACAACTATAGCAAAAACTGATCCAGTTACTACCTCTAACAAGCTTGTGATAATAGTTACTCTTTGGGGAGCAAAGGGAATGATATTTCCTAGGCACTGCCTAGGAACATGAAATTCATTATTTCATTTAACTCTCAAAGTAACTCCAGGAATGTATTTCTGTTTCCAGGTGCAAATGCAGCAACATCACACTGCAGTTAAGAGACTTGCCCAAGAGCACCCACCTACTAACAGCTGAGCCAGCATCTGCACCCACCTTTGGAATTGCAAAGTCTGTGAGAAATCTCTATGCTACAATTCACAGTCTCCTTAATGTTAACTTGTCCAGATCTTAGCTTCCTTTTCCTTTTCCTAAAAATGACAGGATTGGTCTTAGCAATTCCCATAGTCTACTCTCTAAACCTAAAATTGCACAACTCTGTGAAAAAGGAGAGGCAAAAGGAAAGACCAGCAGAGAGTCATGAGAAAAGATAGCAAGGCAAGCAATAACACAAAGGCACATCAGCAAAAACAAATGGCCTTTGTGGGCCCCCAGTAGCCCAGACTCCCCTGGGTTCTTTTTCTGGCTATTATAAGTCTTTTTCTACTAGAAGTAGGTGAAAAGTAACTTTATGCTACATTGAATTTTCTTTCCAACTCTCATCCCAAAATGCCCCGAGGACTTAGAAAAAAACCACAATGGAAATAAAAGTATAGGGAAATTAAAAAAAGAGGTGAGAACATCACCACAAAAGCAAGCTTTTGGTTTTTCATTTTAAATTGAGAAAAGGGATTATGATAATGATCAAGTGAAGTAATTCAAAAGGAGTGTTTTCCAAAGAGAATAAGTGAGTAAAGAGAACAAAAAAGAAAAAAAGTAAGCAGAATGACCTTGATTTAGCAACTGATACTTATTGATTTTCTTTTACCATCTTCCTTATCTGGGGAAAGTCACAATCCAAAGTGTATGACATTAGAGCCTACTCTCTCTCTTTTTTTAAATTTATTTATTTATGCATACAGAACTGGGGTACAGGCCAGAGGTACAGAACTGGTGAGAGGATTCACCAGAGTCAGAGTGGGGAGAAGAACAGGCAAACTGACAAAGTACACTACTGAGGGGAGCAGTGGGCAGGCAGGACAGGAGAGGTCTGCTGCGCCATGTGGGTCACCTCCCTAGTCAGGGATTGCACTGGTGCTGAAGCAGCTGTGGGTAGCTTTGTAGTGCTTTGCTTTAACTCATTGGGCCTACTCTTTTTTTTTTTTTAAAGCCTGCTCTTAATGAAATTAACAAAAATGTCACTTAAAGCACTAAGGAGAAAGGAAATATTTTGGATGAAAAACTACCTCCTTTACTTACTGGGGTGTGGGGGGAAAAAACTCAAGGAAAAAAAGAGAGAACTCAAAGGAAACTTGCAGGATTCTAAATGCCATTCATTTTACTTTCCTACAAAAAGCCCTTTAGAGAACAATAAAGTTTAAAACACTACCTTTCTGACCTTCTGAAAAATTTTACAAAGTCATCCAACCAATACTTCAGTACCCTAGGACTTTAAAAAAGGCTGGGGTTTCACTGGGTTAAAAAGATGTGGTACATCAACCACTATGGAAAACTGTTTGGAGGTTCCTCAAACTACTAAACATGGAGCTTCCCTATGACCCAGCAATCCCACTCCTAGGTATCTACCCAAAAGACACAAAAACACTGATTGAA